TATGGGCTGTGGAACATAGAGCCTTAATTTTAAGACAAATCTCAGAAAAATGTGAAACATAGGCTGTGGGGACATAAGCTGGGAAATAGGCCTATATTTTCAGTAAAAAAAAAAATTCTTAGAAATCTGGGACATTGGCTGTGGGAACATAGGGCTGACCCGCAGTAGCAGTAGTAGTAGCAGTAGTAGTAGTAGTAGCAGTAGCAGTAGTAGTAGTAGCAGTAGTAGTAGTAGCAGTAGTAGTAGCAGTAGTAGTAGTAGCAGTAGTAGTAGCAGTAGTAGTAGCAGTAGTACCTGATTTGTATCGTTTGTAGTATTTGGCAGTAGTGTTGAAACATGGAACATCACCTTGAACTCTCTGAAGTTTGTGTAAACGGAGTGACTTCCTGTTGAGTCACCTGACAGGAAACAGGAAGTAAACAACAAAAGTTTATATGACAGAGGACAGGTGGTCATACCTGACATACACCTTCACCACCATCAGTAGTGACATCACAGTGACATCACTATAACTCAGGTTCATGACCAAAAGTGTCATTAAAACAGGAAGTGGTTCTAGTTCAGAAACAGGAAGTGTTTCTGGTTCTGGTTGTTTCAGAGACAGGAACTGGTTTTGCTACCGATGCTGTTTAGCTGATCTCTATACTCGGTGAATCCCTTCAGTTGGACCTTGTGACCCAGCAGGTCCAGGAACTGTTCCAGAGCTGCACTGGCCTTGTTGTTGTTCTCCTCAGAGTTCTGACTGGCCCAGAAGCAAACACCAACTGTGTGCTGGAAACTCAGCTGCAGACAAAAAAAGAAGAAAAACATCAGTCCATCCGAGTCCAGGAAGGTCCAGGAGAGTCCAGCCCAGTCCAGCAGAGTCCAGCAGTTATCCAGGTCCTAAACAAGAACATTTCCATTTTTAATCTTTCCAATGTCATGTTTGTGCATTCAACGACTTTGGTTAATGTCGAATTCTTGAAACTCTGATGATGTCTCCTGACAATGAGGCCCCCTATCAATGAGGTCAGCTGATCATTAGCCTATTCAATATCCATGTATGTATGTCCGTCTGTTGGACATTTATAATAAATCTGTAAACGATGAGTCTTTGTTAGCTGTTGTCATACCTGGGTCTTTTCTAGAGCTCAGCAGTCATCAGCAGTTGTGACAAACTTTGTTCAGTTGTCATCATGTGACATTCATTATGACATCATCTATCCTGACACTACTCCTATGACCATGATGACTGAGCTAACTGTGATGTAGACTGTGGTTTGCTGCTGGAAAAAGCTAGTAAGCGGACTTTGAGTCAAAAATGTACTTTCAAACTCAATTTATGAAACATATTGATCAGATTCAGTGTTTACATTTAAAATCATGGTTTATTGTTGAGGATGGTTTCAAACTCTGAAATATGAATCAATATTCAAGTATTGTAATCAATGTGTCTGCAGTGTTTTCACTTCAATTTAGCTCAAAAGGACATGGACACACCTTTAGTTCAGAGCTTAATGATCGATCAGGATCTGATCACAGACAGAAATCCCCAAAAATTGCTGTGAGTGCAGCGCACAGCTCACTCTTCATGATATTTAAAAAACAAAGATGTCGCCTGTGAGAGGAGTAGCAGGAAGAATAGATATAAACGCCGGCAGCTGGAGCTGATCAATTGATTCTGCCCACTCTTCATATTGGACTTTTTCTCAGATGTTTCCCACCGATAGGATCATTATCATCTTGCAGCCCTGAATAAGCCGTTCAGTCAGTCACTTCTCCCAGGGGCTGCTGGGAGTTTTATCTGAAAACAGGAAAACTAATTCTACTTCCTGAAAGTCAGCAGGAGAAATAAAGATGAGCAGCTGTTGTTGAATTATTCTCAGATTGTTGAATGATCTTAAACACTGTGGAAGCTTTAAAGAAGCAAATATCACCCGTGGAAACATTAATCTTTATTGAAAGTGGTATATATGTAGTCGAAATGTAACATAAATTCTGAATTTGGTGCCTATTTTGACCGAGAAAAAGAGTGTTGTACTCCATCACCCCCCTCTACAAATATTATGAGGACTGTCTTGCTTCCAGTGACTGCAAATGACCGATTTTTACACTCATTGCAAGCAGCAGAAGTGGCAACACTAAGAATCCGTATTTCTCCCCGTCTCAGGGGGAAAATGACGGGAATGGTACCACCATTCAAAAATAATCGACTGGGTTTCTAACGATACAAAGCTTAATGCAAATGGGTGAAGTGTCCCTTTAAGAAACTCAATCTGAATTGAGATATCATAAATATATCATCATTATCAATTACCTTTTAGCAATCTTTAGGTCACATGATGCCTTACATGAGGGAACATATATCAGAGGGGAAACCATTTTAAAACAACGTTTCAACCATCAAGAGTTATAATCAGTGGACAGAGATTAAAAAAGCCCACTCTTGACCCA